CCAGCAAGAGTGGTCCGAGAGTGGAACAGGCTGCCCGGGGAGGGGGGAGTCCCCATCCCGGGGGGGTTTCAGGGCCGTTGGGATGAGCTGTGGGGGATGTGGGGTAGGGGAGAGCTTTGTGGAGTCGGGCTGAGGGTTGGACTTAATGACCCCGAGGGGCTTTTCCAACCTGAATGGCTCTGTGATAAGGGATTGATAATATTTTCCAGGGCAAGAAAAAGAAGAGAAAGCGTGAGAAGCTGGCCCAGCAGCAAAGCCATGACACGGAGAGTGAGTATCCCCCCTGCCAGCCTCCTCCCTCCTCCCGCTTTCAGCTGCTCATGCCATCCTCCGTTGTTCCCAGACTCCCTGGCATCCAAGAGCAAGAAGCCGTGCGTGCAGTACCTGCCGGCCGAGAAACCCTGCGACAGCCCCGCATCCTCCCACGGCAGCATGCTGGATTCGCCCGCCACGCCATCAGCTGCCCTGGCGTCCCCGGCTGCGCCAGCCCCCACCCACTCGGAACAGGCTCAGCCCCTCTCACTCACCACCAAACCGGAGGCCAGGGCTCAGCTCGCTGTGCATTCGGCCACCTTCCTCTCGGGCAAAGCTGCTGCTTCTTCTTCTTCCTCCTCTTCCTCCTCCTCCAGCCTCGGCAGCCCGCCCTCGCTCCTCTCCAGACCCATTCCCTTCACCTCGGTGCCTTCCACGGCTCTTCTGGCCTCGCCACCATCCTTCGCGGCTGCCATCCCGTCCCCGCAGGCTGCCCTGGCCGTGCTGCAAACGCAGCCCCTTTCCCTGGTCACCAAACCCGCTGACTAAGGGAAAGACTCGTCCGCCCCCTCATCCTGTCCCATCCGTCCCCTCCCTGCTGTACATTGCAGAAGCCACAATCAAGATTCAAATGCAGACAAAACCATTATTGGTCAATATTTGACCCTTTCTGAACTCTTTTGTAAGCAGACTCTGGAGGAAGGGGCTTTCTGCTCAGAGCTGCTACCAGCAGTCGACCTAAAGACCGTTTTTATTAAAAAAAAGGAAAAGAAAAAAAAAAAAAGAAAATAAATCCTCCACAAGCTGCCGACGATGGAAATCTCCTGCGAGCTGACCATGGCTGTGGGCCAAGCGCCCGGCGCTGCCACAGGACCCAGCGCTCCCGCGCACAGGCATGCCAGCACCAAACAGGGTGGGCGTTGAGCTGGGGCCAGTGCTCCGTCCCAGAGGCAAGAGCAGAAGCATTGGCTACCGAGCCGGTGACTCGATGCTCCCAAATCCTCCCGTCCTGCGGCTCTGCTCCCAGCCACAGGGATTGCCCTCGCTCTGTCCCGGCAAGGAGCCGGATCCTGCCCTGAGGATGCTGCACCGTCGGCCCTGCTCCTTCCCGTGGTCATGCTGGGGTGGGCAGGATCCAGGGCTGAGCCCTGGGTGGGGGGTTTTTCCCCTGGAAACCCTGTTATTTTCCACAAAAAGAAATAAAACTACAGCTGCAACTTGCTGCGTGAGCGTGGTCAGTGGGGGAAGCGCTCGCTCCTTGCCCGTCGCCACCTTCTCCCGCCAGCGCTTGAGCGTCACTTTGCCCCTGGGAAGCATCTCGGGATGGGGCTCTGGTCCGGCCCCAGAGGGGGGCACAGGGCCAGGCATGGCCCCAGCCTGAAAGCATCACTCAGATGCCTCCACTGACGGGCACAGGGTGATTTCGGGGGGGCCATCACAAGCCTGTGATGCAGCGTGAGGTTTGCTGGAGAGATACAGGCAGGAGGATGCGGGGGAGTAGGTAAACCAGTTCAGGGGGGGCCTGAAAAAGCCGAGGAGTGTGAGTCACGGGTGTGTATCTCACGGCCAGGAACTGTAGGATGTCCTGGGCCTGCTTCTTCCAAACTAGGAATGAAAAAACAGATTAGGATGGAAAAGCACCTGCACAAAAGCAGGCCAGGGTCACCCCATGGATTTTCCACCACTCTAAGTTTCAGGTCAGTTCAACACGAGCTAATCAAGCCTCTTCGTCTCACTCTAGATTTAACAGGTAAAAAACCTATCGCAAAGTTTTCCCATTGAAAGTCACAAGGTTGTTTTCTGTTGCAGGTTTAATCCTGAGCTGTGCCTGCCCAAAGGTGACTTGTGGTGTTTCTAGTCCCATTTCATTCCCCTTTCTGAATTTCATTTCCCAGGACCCAGCCTGGCTCCTCTCTACCTGCACCAGTGCTGCACTGCGGGGACCACGGTGCCCTCGGGCTCCCAGCCCGTGGCGGAGGGCAATGTCCCAACCATCACTACCAGTGGTGGACTGAGCCCTTCCCACGACTGCTGGCCCTCCGGGTCTCAGTTTGGTGGGTGCTTTTGCTCATTTGGTGGAATAAATGACACCTTTGCCTCCTGTTGTGACATTTTTCTTTCCTTTCCAGTGCTGAGCTGGTGTGAGAAGCCACTGGGGAAGTATTTTTAGCAAACTGGAGCAGCAGCAGATGTCCATCTGTGGGAAGAGGGGAAAAGGGACCATCTGGGTGTCTTATCCTTAAGGACGACGGTGTCTGCGTTCACCAGATGTTGTGTGAGTCGAGTCCCTGCCACGGGATGATGCTGGTGTCTGTAGCCCCAGCAGGTGACACCTGGATTCAAGGATTCCTATTTCCATATTGGAGCTGGGCAGAACTACCAAAGACGTACAGCCAAGCGACGCCCCCAGCCATGGGTGCAGACACGGGCACAGCCTCGAGCCCTTGCGTGAGCACCAGGGGCATGTTTGGGGCAAACGCCGGCTCCCGTAACCTTGTGAGAGCTCCAGGTGACTTCTAAAACCAGTGATGGTACCTCCAGCGGGACCACAGCTTCATCCACCCAATGAGGATCATCTTCTGGACTGGAAGCGGCAGCTTAACTTCACAGCTCAGAGCATCCCAGCTGGGCGGTGGCTCCCAAAATCATTGCTCTAAGTGGTCCTGGCTAGTGGAGAGCCTCAAGCAGCAAGAGGAGCCTGCAGCAGACCCAGCTTCTTGGTGGCCACCATCAAAGCCTCTGAGCTGGAGCATCTTTATTCACCATTGCACCCAAGACAGCCCTGAACTCGGTAGGTGTTTCCATTCCGCACACAAAATTGTTTAAAGTTCTGGCTTTCAAAGAACAAATGTTTAAAGGCTGAGATAGGGCATGATTCCTCCTCAACAGCACCCAAGAGGACCAGCCACAGTGCTTTAATTAATGGCATCCTGATAGCGTGTCACGCGGTTGTGCACGATCCAGGACCGAGAGGATTAGAGTGTCGCAGAAAACGTGCGTGGCCGTCATTTGAAAAGAGGCAAAACGTAGCTTTTTTTAGAAAGGCTGTTCCAAGAAACTGGTTTTCTGTGAGGAACGTCTGGATCACATGCAGCCTCGCTCTCCCCAACACCGGGAGCAGGCTGCAGACAAACAACTTCTTGAATTAGATTTCATGGGAAATTAAAGGCATGAAGAGACCTGTCACAAGAATTAAAGTCTGAACCGGAGCCAGACAGCTTCAAACAGATGTTGGACTTCAGCAGGAGAATATTTCTTTGTTTTACTCGGCATTTTCCCATACAGAAAAGGAACATCTGTTCCGATGCTTTCGCAGTGCTCCCAAACTGAGATAGGCTTGGATTATCCCCTGCTAGAAGAGAAGCAACTGGCCACCAAAGCCCTCTTGGCGTCACTCCTGGAGAAGAGGGCAAGACCAGTTCTGTGTTGCTCTGGTCTCACATGAACACACAAGCTATCCGAGTTGAACCAGGCTGATGGTGGAGTTTACATATCCTTCATGCTCACAGTGACATGGCCAGATGAAAATGTTGCCTTCGGACTGGTTATCGATAGGAAACTGATTCCTTAGGCAGGGTTTTCTTTGTCCTCTGGGAAGTGCTTCAATATGAGGAAAATTCTGGGGTTTCTCGTTATTGCAGAAAAAACCTCTGGTGTGTTTCAGTTCGGGCTGTTGTGGTAAGGAGGTCTAGTAGCCCCTCTCCTCTTTTTTCGGACAGGTTTTAGACGACATTTCTCACGAGGCTTAACTTACCCGCAGACCTGGGAGCTGAAATCGAGCCAGGCAGCCCAGGGCGCAGAGGAGAGACAGGCGTGGAGGGCCCAGGGAACTCTCTAGCAGTTACAAGAATTCACTTTTCAAACTTGCAACAAAAACCCAATTTTGCAGCCAAAGATTCCTGATTTTTCCTTTGGCCCTCTGAGACAATGAGGCATCTGCCAGTGCACGCTCCCCGCTCCTGCTTTATAGACGGCTTCCGTTTCATAGGGTGCATCCCAACCACATCCAATGAAGGGGAAAAAAGGTCAGGGAGGGAATGAAATGGTGTCCCGAGGGGCGTCTGCAGCAGAAGGAAGGGATAGCATGGCGTAAAGAGCAGGGGGAGGTGGGACAGCCGGATTCTGCCTCAGCTGAAAGGCATGGAACAGCTGGGACGGGTCGCCGTTGCTCTCCCAGCTGGGGCAGATGTTGCCGCTTGCCTGCGCAGGTCGAGACAGTGCGAACACGCGTGGGGCTAAGCCACGGCTGTGCAGAGCGGGGGAGCTGGGCCTGTTGAGGTTTGCTGTCGTCTCCAACAGCGCAGTTCTGTGTAGAAAGTGCTGAGAATCAGTATCATCATCAGAAAGTTTGCAAATGACACCGAGTGAAGCGGGAGAGTCGGTCTGCGCGAGGACAGGGAGGCTCTGCAGAGAGACCTGGATAGATACGATCGGTGCCCAACGTTAACGGGATGAGCTTCAGCAAGGGCAAGTGCCAGGTCCTGCCCTTGGGCCACAACCACCCCCTGCATGGCCACAGGCTCGGGGAGGGGTGGCTGGAGCTGTCTGGGGGAGAAGGGTCTGGGGGTTCTCACTGACCAGCAGCTGAGCAGGAGCCAGCAGTGTGCCCGGGTGGCCGAGAAAGCCAACGGCCTCCTGGCTTGTGTCAGCACTGGTGTGACCAGCAGGAGCAGGGAGGTGACAGTCCCCCTGTGCTCTGACTGGTGAGGCCACACCTGGAGGGTTGTGTCCAGGTTTGGGCACCTCAATCC